GAATTGTGGGAAATTTCAGTTTGTAATTTTTTGAGGCACTGCCATGGCATTCCTATAGTGATTAGAAACTTTTGCACCAACAATGCACAAAAGCTTCGACTTCTCTGCATCTTCCCCAGTGATCTTTTTGATGATAGTCATCCTATAGATGTGAGGTGTGTCATCTAATGATTCTTACCCTTTGTGTTAAATGTAGTATAATCTTGCCAGTCAAGATTGCCCGTCCCCCAACTCCTGCCACCAAGGAGATATTCAGATTGGCAAAGGATAACTGTTAATGGCTACAGCTTCCTTTAGAAGTAAAATGGGACTCCCCAAAGATATATAGATTAAAAACAATGTGCTGGACACAGGTCCTATTGGGTGCAGGAGGGCAGGGCTTGGTGCTAAAAACACTCGCATGGTGGTCATGGCTTCTGCGTCCTGTGCAACTGTGAGGCTAAAGAATGCACCCACAGCCCAGGAGGGTGAGGAGCAGAGGAGTGAGCCCAGGGCACATGCGCTGGAGCGGCTGGCTGGTGTGTAGGGTGTAGGGACCAGGGGTGTAACATCATGCAAGGGTAGGGATGGTAGGAGGAAACCACAGGGCTGAGGTCTGATGCCCAGGTCTCACAGAGTGGCCCATGTGGTGCAGGAGGAAAAGGAAAGGACTTAGGGCTCCACATCCTCCCTGGTGGGACCCTTGCAGGTGCTAAGTCTCATAGTCACATCTCTCTGGGCTGAGCTAGTTGTTAGGAACAGCATGCCTCTCCTGCTTCACAAACCTCAGCCCCAGCATGGACCAGAGCTCTCAGCTCCACCAGCTAAGGCTGCTCTGGGCCGCTGCCTGCCACTCAGGCTGAGCCCCACTACTCTCCTCCCTAGTCGCTGCCATTTCCCTCTGCTGCTCCAGCTCCTGCTGGGGTCCTGAGTGACTCCGCGGCTGCAGTCATCGGACCCTCTGCTAGCCTGATCATATCCGCCCTGTCCCTCGGCCCCATCACCATGTGAGCTGCACACCTGCCATTGCACCTCCCATCCTTCCTGCCCCGGTCCCCAGTCCAGCCTTTTCCTCCCAGAGGGAACCCCTTATCTTTGCAAGACACTCCAGTGCATCTAGCTGCCTCAACTCATCACTAGCACTGTCCTGGTTGTCACTGTCCTCCCAGGGCCTCATTGTGCAGCTTTTAATGTCTTTTTGCTATGCTTGGCCTCTGGAAGTCATGTGTGTTCTTTGAATTTTTATTTTGTTATTTTGGAAAACTTCTCCAGTTGGAAAAGTGACCAAGGCTCCTTCCTGCAGCTCCGTGGGGCCTCAAGGGCATCATGTTACTATTCCCATAGTGGGAGAGGTCATCTGTGTGGACCGATCACACACGGGGGGGGGGGTGACATTTACAATGTCTTGCGGCTTCCTTAAGGGAATTGGGTTAACAGAGAAAGGCTGGCTTGCAGTGATGAAAAGGAGGTGGTCCCCATCTTGTCCTCCTTGTCCCACTGAGTCTGGGTGCAGCCTGCCCCTAGGAGGACAGGATGGAGATGCTCCACTCCAGCTGGCTCAACACCTGGGTAGCCCAGGACGAGACCCAGGTGCCTTTGTCTCCAGTGCTCACCGAGCCAGCATCCTCATCTTGCAGATGCAGAAGGAGGCTGGAGAGAGTAAGCAATTGGCTCAAGACAGCTGCTCCAGGTCCTAGATTCAAAACCACTTCCGTGGGGAAAGCTCTTCCATTTCTGAGGGGGAAGGCGGACACTGGCCAAGTCCACAGAGCTCCCCTTCCACCCTGGCCTGGCTGTTAAACCTGTTAAAAGCTGCTAGCGTCCTGCAGGCCATCTCATTTTGCTGTCTGTAAAGAAGACTTGGCAGGAACCTGACTGTCCCTAACCCTCTCCTGGCTGTTAATTATCCCCTGAATTAAAGAGGACTTCTACATTTTCCATTTTAAAACGCTCTACAGTGCTTGGCAACAGTTCTGTACATAGAGGTGTCTATAAAAATTTTAGAGATCTCACATAAAAAGCCCAGATGAAAATAGGAGCTGTTGCTTTAATTCTTCCTATGCAATTTTTTAAAAATGCTTTAATATTCCATTCAACTCTTTCTTCCTTTTTCCCCCTCCTTCTCTCTCGCTGGTTCTGAAAAATAAGTGCAACTATAAATATGCAGGACGTGGAAAGCTGACTTTTCCTATATCTAATAAAAACCTTGGGGAGTAATTGAAATAACTTGGCGTGGGTAGTCAGGTTCCTCGCTGCATAATATCAAAAGAAAATCCATAGTGAGAAGCAGCAGCAGAAAAGAGGAAGACAGGATAGGAGAGTAAAACCAGGACATTAAATAATGAGCAGCTATGAGGCTCTACAAAAAATCCTTTCAGAATTACATTCTCAGAAAAATAGTCAAGAGGCATCCTCAAAGAAGGAACTGTAGACAAGGTGTACATTTGATGCTTGTCTGAGGCTCGAAAATTGAAAAGGGAGGAAATGCCCCCTCCCCGCATCTATTCTTCAGACAGAGTCTGGCAGAAGCCACAGGCAGCCGTCAAATCCTGGCGCACGCGCACACGGCCTTTCAGGAGGAGGCCTCCTCCCAGCGCCCACTTCTCTTTTCATCTCCACAACCCACATTTGAAAGGGATGTTGCCAAGGCAGCCGAGCTCACGAGGAGGACCGGCTACTCTCACTTGTCTAGGGGGTACCCGTCGGAGTCTCTTCCTCTGGCTTTGTATTTTACAAATTACCACAGCATTCATTATGAGGAGGACAATGACAGTGACGTGTCTGTCCTGGGAAAGAGAGTTGAAATCACGTAGGGAGGGAACACTTTGCGTTCTAGATTTCTAGAAGAATCTTGCTGTTTATTATTCTGCCTTTGCCTGAGGATACCTTTAGCCATGAAGGTCTTACTAATTCTGGACGCAATGATTTTCTAGAGCTTATTAAGGTTATTTGTATACAAAAAAAGTGAAACTTTTGGAAAGATAAAAATAAGGAAAAACCCCATAACCCAGCACACATAATGATTTTGATGTATTTTCTAGCAATCTTTTTACTTAAGAACAGCTGGATTTTTAAAAAATTTGGCACCTGTGGTTGCTGTTGAAACGTAGTGTTTAATTTTGGGTCTTTTTTTT